AGGAGGGTTAGGTTTTAATCCATGCTCAAAATCAATGACTCACCCGTTTTCTGTAGTTCGAAACTTGATCATTTAAATTTAAAATCCCAAGGCACCATAATTGATAACCTGTATTTTGCTTTGGTGATGTCATTTTTCAAAAATCGGTTCCTCTATGAAGAAAAGGCTATACAATGGCGACTTCTAAGGGATGCTCGCGGATAGGAATATCTTGCCTTGTATGGATAGTTTTGATGTCCAACGCTACCTTTGTAGATGGTATAGGTGATATATGACTTAAGCTCAGAAATCAGACTTCTTAGAGATGGTTCAACTAGGTGATCTGCCATCTATTATTATAAGTTTGAATTTTAGCCGAATTTAAGTTAGAAGAATTTCCTTATTTGCCTTGTTATTCGAGATTGAATCTTTCACACATGGTTTGTGGGAATTTTTTTGTGTCAAGTTTAATTTTTTTGTTATGAACTTTTGGTGTCCGGAGTCTTGTGTCCTTTAGTAATAGTTGTGAGCATGTCTGTTTTGAATTCTTTTTTGTATTAGGTGGGTTTTTTTAGTAACTGTTGTGTGATTTTGTATTTTGAGTCTATTTTGAGAGAATGTGTAATTAAATTTGTTAATTGATTGATTCTTCTGATTTTTATTATATTCAGGTTGAATTTTCTTTGTATTCGTATTAAATAAATTTTATATTTATCAATGAAAAAATTCGCACATGGTTTGTGTTGTCCCTCCATAATTAGTCCTCACGTTTGCAACAATGAATTCCCAAAGATGGAATAAAGTGCCAATCTCTTTTTATCAAGCCCTCAAAATTTTCAAATTTATTGAAAGCTGAATATTCCCCCTCAGCACACTCCTATTATCTTTGTCACTCTATAGCTAATTAGGCGAATTTTATAATCTACATAGTGTGGTGCACGTATAAGTTTAATTTGAAAGAATTTGTTGTAGAAATTTTGTCTGTGAGAAATAGGTGCACATAATTTATTTGTGACTTCTTAAAAGTTGAACTCTTGGAGTTGCTCAGTAGACCTTCTAGTTTTATCTGTTGTTTCTTTCGTTGTGTTTTTGTCTCCCATTCATTGTTCGCGGTGGTGTCATGTTGTGTAGTGGCTTTTGTTTTGTTAGTACTTTTGTTGGCCCAAAAAATGGCAACTCAAGAAAAGAGTGAATTAGGGTTTTAAAAATTTATGAAAGTTTTGAATTTAAATCGATAAACAAGTAAATACAAGCATGCACAAATAAATTAAATTACAAAAATTAAAAGAATAGAAAAGAGAAAAATTACACAGTAATTTAGAGTAATTCAGTTGTAATTTATGTCTAATTCATTATTCAAGTCTCATATTTGAGAGTTAAGTTTGATTTCAAATATTCTCCTTCAACTTGTGAGAGTAGAGATCACTGTACATAATAACTTTGTAGTACTGTTTACCTTTAACAACTCGTTTCTTTCTTATGATCTCTCTCAAAACTAAATCTTAACCATTAGAAAGGTTTTCCAAATCTAATAAGGATTTCCATCCAAACAATTAGATGATCAAATAACAAGGATGAAAGCACAAAGAGCAAGGTTGAAACCTTATAAACTTTTCTTAAGAATACATTTAGGTTCAGCTCGGTTGGTGCTGCTTATCTAAAATATCTTTTTAAACCCTCATGCACAAATCCAAGTTAGACCAATCATTGTAAGTCAAAATGGAAAGCCTTAATTTCCTTTTATTTCAAAGTTTTGTCGAAGATTTTGAAACTTTTTAATATGTTCTAAAACTTCCTACATTCATGAAAAGGTCAGAGAGTAAATTCAAATGCTTGATTTAGACAATCTTTATATAGGAAATCTGTTCATAATTATGAAAATTTAAATCTTGTAAAATTTGAGAATCCATGAGTTGTGATATTCAAATATAAAAACCCAATATTCAATCAAGTAAATATTTTAAAAATGAAATCAAAGATTTTCGAAAAGGAGGGTGAAGCTTTTTTTTCAAGAATTCATTTTTAATTGTAAATGTAAATACTTTTAAGTTTGAATACATTGGCAATCATTGATTTAAAAATTTCTTTTCCATATCTTCCCATTTACATGTGATTTTGGTAATAATAAAATTAAGAACAACAACTTCTAGTGAGTGTAGTCAGAAATATTTTTTAAGGGGGCCAAAACAAAATCTTGACTAAAAAGTAATGTGTTTGTGTATAAATTAAAATAATAATAAAAGAGAAATTTTTTTTAAAAATTTATTAATCTTTAACAATAAAATAATAGCGGTTCATCATATATAAATGCTATTAATTGAAGGACAAAATAAACATATATGAGTAAAAGAACACTACTAAAAAAAATAAAATAAAAGGGTCTTAGTGAACACTATATGAGAAAAGACTTTATTGAATAAATTTTCATTCAATTAATCTTTATTTTTATCATCTTTCTTATTATCAATATTTTTCTTGTCTTTCTCATTATCATTTAAAAGTAATCTTCGATAATAATAAATAAATAAAATGATAATAAAATTATTTAAGATAAAAATAATAAAAATAAAATTTAGTGGACCAAACTTCTAATTTCACAAAAGTTTATGGGGACCAGGGGGATTTTTTTTTTTAATAATCTGGAAAAATGGAAAAACATAAACGCATCAGGTTGGGGTCGAACCTACGAGTTTCTGCTTAGGAAACAAACGCTCAATCCACTGAGCAACAGTCGCCCTCCGTGAATGAGTTCTCTTGAAAATATTATTGTTACGAGATTAGCATCTTCTATTTTGCCTGCGCAGGTAATCGAGAAAGAACATGTTAAGAGCTTAGGTATGCTTATAGAGTTATGGATCTCAACTCCCAGATCCTCAACTACTTAATCCAAAGTCTTATTAGGAATAGATGACGTGAGAGAGATCATATGTGTTACGTTGTCAATGTTAAGGGCTAATTTGCATTTTTTGAGGGGTTTGAGAGCTAATTTACATCATTTAAGGAGTTTGAAGGCTTATTTGCACCGTTTTCAAGAAAAGAGCTTAGGTGTTAATTTGGTGTAAGTGTAGGGGCTTAAGAGGGGTTTTGCCTATTTATATAATTAAAGTTGTTACTGTAATAGTCCAAATGTCTAGTGGTCCAAATAATAATATTCTCTTTCCTTTTGAAATAAAAGATTATATCTTTTTCCTTTATTATAGATTTAAGTTATATACATGTGGGTGGTTATGGGAATATGATTTTTATTTTTATTTTTATTCTTTTGGTAAATGATTTTAAATTTTTGAGAAAAAGAGATCTCTCCTAAAACATTACAAAACTAGAAGGACGCTCATATGGCCTGGTCGACATTGATATTCTCCTTTGGGGGGATGGTCATTTGACCTTTGCCAGAGTCTTCATTCTTCTAGGTTTTTGCACTAGATTGATCGTCTTTGGAAGATTATAAAAGAGTTGTATACAATGTCCATGGTTCTAGAACAAGGTTTATTAATTTGCCTTGTTCACTTGTATATATATTTTTTGCCATATCTTTAATTCTTTTTTCTTACTAAGGCTCTCTCTATTGGCCCTAGATATTCAGTACTGATTATGTATGTATATATATGTAGGAGAAATTAAAAATGCATAAATCTCAATGATTTATAGTGAAAAAAACAATTATTAAGATTTTATATAAGACTTTACAATTTTATGTTACACCCACTACAATATTAGGTGAAACAATTATATCATTCTCCATATTCAAATAGGCACACTACAACATTAGGTAATACAATTACACTATTCTTCATATCATACTCAAACAAGTAAATTTTGGCAATTGCTAAGGGAGGGAAGGGAGCAAGCAACCGGGGTGGTTTTTCCTAATCTTTATGTTTGAAACCCATCCACCTTATTTCATTAATTTAAGTAGTTCTCACCACAATTTGCACCGTCGGAGCAGCAAAATTGGCATGAGTAGCTAAACATGTAAACCCATATCCCAAGCCCACGTCAGAAATAGCTAATTTGATCACTAGAATTGATGATTCCATGAAAATTGTTGATACTTGCAGACTTTTTGCTGCTGTTGACACCTCCAGCACCCAAGCCAATATGGACATTAGCATTTGGGGGCAGTTTGATCTCACCTTCACCCTAGCACAAAGGAGCTTGGAAACCAGGA